GCGTCGTGTCTAATAAGTTTTAGATTTAAGACAATTTTTTTATTTATGTTTTACTTTCATTTAATTATATAAATTTTATTTTTTAATTAATAATATTGTTAATTAAATATTAATAATTAAGAAGCTTTAATATCTAATAATAACTAATTTAATCACTTTTTGCAATATATTTTATAAACATATATTGCATAAGTTTAATAAATTAATTTTTTAATATATTTAATATTTCTAATGGAACATTAATTTATTTTGTTAGTAATTTCTAAAATCTTTAAATTAGAGGGAAAAAAATTGTGATCAATATTATAAAATTAATGTAACGTAGGGTGTAATGACCCGCCATGGTCATCACACTACGAACAATATTACACATTACTGAAATATATATACTAAAATAGTATAATAAAATATTTACAATACAAGTTGCTCATCGAGCAACCAACGACAACTAATTATATACAACAAAATATGTTATTATAAGGTAGCCTAAAAAAAAATATCCCTCTCCAGGCACCTTCTGTGGCCTCTTGTAGCTATCTCCCAGCCTATCCCTGCCCTGCTCCCATACCAACGTATGATCATCGCAGTCCAAACCACATGGAAACACGCAAGGGTAAGCTAGAGACAATAAACAACTCATAAATATCAAATAAGAAACACAATTATATAATCATTTTCACATCCGATACAAAAGATAAACAACACATATATTACACATCTTTTAACAACACATGTTTAAAACAACCTACAACATAACAACACTAACATCATCCTCAACAGGATCAACACACAACACAATCACAACTTAACCACATAACAACATAGATACAACTTTTATCAACAACAAATCAACTCATCAACAACTTATGCGTCGTCACGCATGTCAACTCGGAGATCTCCAACAACTGAGGTTGAGCAGTCTAGGTGGCATAAACCCTACCGAATCCAGCGTTTGACCTATCTCAACCAGGTCAGATATAGAACAGCGTTAGAAACTCTGAAGAGAACCAAGTATAGACAACAATAGTTGATTGCTCAGGTGTGCCACTTAGACTCGGAGGTCCAGTACTACTGTCAGGACAGAAGGGTTTGGATATGAGCCTACCACGGCCTTGGCTAGCATCACCAATCCACATATGGAGTTAGCTCACCCACTGTCCTCCAAGTACCATGCACCCTCCAGTACCTAGTCAAAGACTACATCTCTAACTAGATACCTTACTCAAATTGGTCATTCAACCATGACATGGATCGACTATTTCCATGTCGCCCACACAGTACTAAGGGATTCAACTTTAAAACAACTTTCAACTTTAAAACAACTTTCAACTTATCACCTTAGTACTATGTATCTCAACATAGGACACATATCTTCACCATATGTCCCCAACTTTTCAACTTTACAACAATAGACACCATAACAACTTTACAACAATAAACATCTGGCCGCTTGTAATCGGTATAGCTCGGTCTGGCCCCTATACCGTGGTCACTTTATACACGTGTGCCTCAACCTTGCCCACACACAGGATCAACTAAGTCCTAGAGGAAAACAACACAACGTCCACTCCAAGGGACAACTTTCCAAGGAAGGTTTTCAACAAATTGGGCTCTCAGAGCACCACAACTATCTCAATCCGCACAATGGGATGAGCAACTTCGAAAATATCTCCTCTAGTCCTAGTGATCAACAACTTATCATCACAGCTTAATCAACTTACAACTTAAACACACATGATATATCAGCACAACAACTCATGAACGTTATTTAAGAACACATTTTAACGACACAACATCTCATTTGCATTTTAAACAGCACAATCAACTCAATCATCATAAAATAATATTTTTTCAACAAATGGCACAACATACAACTTTGTAGTCAACATGCATCTCTTCGTTTTTCTTTCTACTCATCATACATATCAATGTAATTATACAACTTCTTATTCAATTATACAATTATGCAACTTTAATAATTTTAACAACATGCAAACAACTTAATTAAACAATTATAGTCATTACAATATCAACTTAATGCAACTTAACAACTTTAAACAACTTCAACAATATCACAAATCAACACAACTTGTAAACAACTTCATAACTTAACAACATCATGCATTTCCAACAACATCATTAATAAACATTTAATCATATATTAGCAACACAATATTTTCATCACATAACACAACTCATACTAATCAACCTAAGCACCCAAATGAGTTCCCAACTCACATACAACCAACAACTTTACAATCTAGCTTCCCTTACCTGAAGATTGGCTCAGAATAGCCAAGAAGCGGAATTCCCTTTCCGAAGCTCAACACGGAACATCAATCCACCCAAAGCAAGCTTCTTAGTCCAGAGTCCTTCTCTCTAAAACTTCTCTCTAAAAACCTCTATTTCTCTTCAACCACCCAACTCTATTTATAGACATTCAGGAGTGGCCAGAACGGCCTGTTTCGAATCCGGAATGGCCCGTTCTGCACCCCTTCATCATGTGCAAAATTTACATGCAGAACGGCCCGTTCTGAAATTAGAACGGCCCGTTCTGGGACTCATCCAGAACGGCCCGCTCTCCATCCAGAACGGCATGTACTCCCTCTGGAATAGTCCGTTTTGAGGTTTGGAACGGCCCGTTCTCCCTCCAGAACGGCCCGTTCTCAACTACAATTTATAGGTCAATTCAGTAGTTTGGAATGGCCCATTCCAGTTTGGGAACGACCCGTTCTGGGCTACTGAATCACCTAACCTACTACGTTACATAGGGAGTAGATTTCATAGTTTAGTTGACTCTAGGGAGAATAATATATAAGGGTTTCTCTGAGAATGGAGTTTCATAAGTTCATTTTCAAATAAACTTAAAGAGAAGTTTTAGAGAGAAAAGCTCTGGGACCGTGAGCTCCTTTCTCTCCCAAATTTCTCTGTATGGTTCCTCTTCTCTTCTAGATCACTAACTTCTTATATATTCTCTTGGAATTCAGGCTAGGAAGCTTGCTTTTGGAGGATTGAAGTCCAGGAGTCGAGCTTTGGAGGAAACTTCTTCTTCTCAGTTCTTGGCTATTCTAAGCCAATTTTTAGGTGAGGGAAGTTATAATGTTTGTTGTTTAGGTTTCATGTGAGTTTAGAAACTCAATTGATGCATAATTGTTGAAAATCCATGGTTGGATTGGAGAAATTGTTCATTTTGCGGTTTTGGGGGAAAATTGGAGTTTTGGTGATTTTGTTGCATCAGATGAGTACATGTTGATTTTGAACTTGTTTTTGAGTTATATGGAGCCTATGCATTGTGTTTTTGTGTTTGCATGTGGATGGATTTGCTGGTTTTTAGGTGTTGAAGGAAATTTTCAAAGTTTTGGAGGTTGTTGTTTGGATTTGCGTCGACGCATTTCTTGGCGTCGGGCATGCCTTTATCAAAGGCAACCATTTCAAACTCACATCGGGCGCGAGGCTAGTCGGGTCGGGTGTGAGTTGAATGGAGGTCTCTAGATGGGTTCATGTCGGGCGTGAGAGGAACCACGCCGGGAGCGATATCAGATAGTGACTTCAAGGGCATTTTTATGGTATGGCGTCGGGCGCAGATTAGGTGCGCCCGGCGTGGAGAGACTTTGGATGGTCTCTATTCAGA